CGATCCTAGAGTTTTCTGTTTACTGTAAACAAGTAGTCAAGGTGTGGCTCAGCCCTTGCAAACACCTTTAATTTAAGAGCTAAATAAAGCCAACCCTAGGTCAAGAGGCAGAGCAAGCAACCAGCCTACAGGGGATGACCACAAGGAAAGAGCAGGGAGGAACGTTTAGTTAGAAGGGCATTTCAGACTGTGTGGAGAAGGAAGAACTTTCTTCTTCTGAGAGAGTAGGAAGGTCAGCTGGTGCTTTCTCTGCCTCTGAGCTAGCAGACTTTCACCACAGACAGCATCTGGCTCCTGGGTCTTAACATTTGGTAAAATTGAATGGCTGGGATTTAGTTTTATAATGCAACAAATGGATTTCTGTGAGTTCAGGTCAAGCCAGAAAATAAAAAGTTTGTAAAGATAGCACTGTATTGTACATCTGTCCTGTTGGTAGTGAGCTTTTGGGAGCAGCAGTGTGCTTATCAATAAGGGCGTGTGTAAGCAGCTTTATGCTATCCAGCTATGAAGAATGAGATATATCTTTGTATGTGGGGAAAGGACAAGATAATCTGTGGCACTAATTTAGGATTTTATTGCTGTAAAAAAACACCATAGCCAAGGCAATTCTTATAAAGGCAAACATTTAATTGGTGATGGCTTACAGTTTCAGAGGTTCAGTTCATTATCATCATGGTGGGAAGCATGGCAGCATGCCAGTTGACACGGTGCTGGAAAAGTTATGTATCTTGATCCAAAGGCAGCTGGGAGAAGGCTGTCTTCACAGTGGGCGGAGCTTGAGCATAGCCTCAAAGCCCACTAACCACACTACTCTAACCAACTTGTAAAACAGTGCATAAAATAGGAATCCACCTGCCACACACCCTATTTTAACATAAAATATAAACCATTAAGATTTCTTTGAATGTGGTGATGAAGACCTCCGCAGAGGGGAGACCCTCTCTCAAGTCTCAGAAAGTCGCGACCACCCAGTAATCTGCTCGAGACACCATGTACCAGAGCAATTGCGAGGTTGTTTATTAGGGCGTGACAGCTAGCTGCCAGTCAATTCGTATGCCCACGCAGGAGCTGAATTGACCCCAACAGCCAGTTTGAGAGGTGTTTTTAAAGGAAAAAAAACACAAACCAAAGAATGAGGAGGGGGTGAGGGGGTTGCTAGGGTGGTATAACATAAAAATAGTGGAACATTCCAAAGGAACCCAACCTACGTCAGTCAGGATCAGGTGAAAACTCTCTGCTTATCTTTCCCAAGAATGTGGTCCTGCCCTGTTACTTCGGCCCTGCCCCGTCACCATGATTCTCAGCTTGGTTCCACCTGGCCAAATTGCATTCCAGCCAGTTCCTGCAACTAGTCTGTCCACATTTCCAACCTGCTTCATGCCTCCATGTCTTTGTAAAGAAAGCCTAAAGAATATTTTATGTCTGAAAAGGATTCTATATACCCAGTATCTATAATTTTTCACTCTACAGTGACTGTTTTTCTTTTCACTTCTTTCTTGGAAACCATATGGTGTAATGAATCCATTTCTCTGTGCAGTAGTGTTGAATTGTTCTTTCGTGAAGGATGACATATCATAACTCATCAAGTATTTGGGTTTTTATTGTTATTTGGTCTATTATTCCTGCTGTCATCTGTAAAGGTTTTTTTGTTTTGTTTTGTTTTGTTTTTTTGTTTTTTGAGGCAGGGTTTCTCTGTGTAGCCCTGCCTGTTCTGGAACTCACTCTGTAGACCAGGCTAGCCTCGAACTCTCGAACTCAGAAATCTGCCTGCCTCTGCCTCCCAAGTGCTGGGATTAAAGGCATGCACCACCACCGCCCAGCTTCTATAAAGGTTTTATTGTATTATTTTTGTACTTTTTGAAGAAAGCCCATGGGACTTAACCAGTACAATATAGACTTTCTGGTCTATATTGGAAATATAGTTTGTTTGTTTATTTGTTTGTTTGTTATTTCATGTTGTTGTTGTTGTTTGTGGAGACAGGTTTTCTTTAGGTAGTCCTGACTGTCCTGGAACTCGGTCTGTATACCAGGCTGGTCTCGAACACAGAGATCTGCCTGGCTCTGTCAGAGTGCTGGGGTTGTTACCTCACTATTATAGCTTATGAAAGCATGATTTTTATTCTCCACACCAGTTTTCTGCCTAGTTTGAGAACCTTGTGGGTTTGAATGTAAGTTACTGTTGTTCTGTTGTCAAAGCCAATAGTACCACATTAGTCTCAGTCTTCCTCTCCCCAAATCTTGCCCTATAGTCTACGATGGATTGGAATTCTGGTTCCTCCTGCCTCAGTCACCTAAGTACAGGATTACAGGCATGCACTACCATGCCTAGCTTACTGTCCCATGCAAGGCAGGGGAAACATGAAGACACAGGTCTGTAGAATGTACAGTGGTTCTTAGAACTCTAAAAGATGCTTGTTCTGTGGTGCAGATACATGGTAAATGCCTGCTTTATTGCTGAATCTATGGCCTTGGTTTCTGAGTTGTTATATTCAATTGGCATCGTTATTACTAGACACTCCAGTGCTGCCAGTAGAAATGTCTGTAGCAATGGGGCTATTCTGTGGAGTTTATTTAACTTTTTATGTATATGTGTGTACAGTTGCCACCTTTGCTTAGTTGTTTAGTATATGTTGTATATTGTCAGTGCCACATTGTAAGGTCATGATTAAATCATGTTATCTTGTACATTTAGAACACTGCTTCTCAAATTGTGGGTAAAACCCCTTTAGGGAGTTGAACCACCCTTTTACAGGGGCCAACCAAGACCACCTGCATATTGGATATTTATATAACAATAACAAATTACAATTATGAAGTAGCAATGAAAATAATTTTGTAGTTGGGGGTCATCCCAACATGAGGAGCTGTAGGGTCACAGCAGTAGGAAGGTTGAGTTTCTGTTAGTTTTTTTTTTTTTTTTTTTTTTTTTTTTTTTAGTTTTTCGAGACAGGGTTTCTCTTGTCCTGGAACTCACTCTGTAGACCAGGTTGGCCTCGAACTCAGAAATCCGCCTGCCTCTGCCTCCTTCAGCAAGTCCTACTGGAGTGCACCACCACAACCAGCCAGATTGATATTTTACTCCCCGAAAATTTCTGTTTCACGTGTTTTGCTTACGCTGGGATTTCAGGAGACTCACACTATGTATGGGAACTGCTGTTTGCTCATTTCCTAATTGTCTCATTCACAAATCCTTATTGCACAACAAGGCACAGGTGTCCAGGTACGATCAGCCACTGTGAATCCACGGACAGTTACATACATCGTACCAAATGGCTGTAGAAAACGCCTTTTAAGTGTAGGTGGGACTTTCACAGACAGGACAAATATAGACCTTAAAGTCTCATAGAGTACGGACTATAATATTAAATACTATTTAATATTATTTAAATAAATATAATGTACATAGATTATAATAATGTTAAATTGGAAAATAGTAATAAGACTTAATCCTAGCACTTGGGAGTCAGAGGCAGGTGGATCTCTGTTGTCAGTTCCAGGCTAGCTAGGGATATATAGTAAGATTCTGTCTTGAAACCAAACAAACAAAAAAGAAAAGAGTAATAAGAAGCTATTTAAAATGCCTACAAATCTGGAAACCACGATGACACTTCGAAATAATTATGGGGCAAAGAAGTTTCAAACTAAATTATAAAAAAAATACATGTTTTTCAGAAATTGTAGGCTTCAACTGAAGTGATGCTGAGAGGAGATGTTTACAGTTTCATATTCTGTTAAAAAGTACTCTCAACAACACGCTCAGAACTAGAGATTGTAGTGTTAAATGAAAGAAGCCAAGCACAGAGAGAGAAGTAGCCTATAGTTGAGAGTCTGCGATGGTTACAGGACCGAGTAGCACAAGCTTGATAGTTATTGCTAGCTGCAAGTCCTGGTGTGAAGTACAATGACTATAGATCATTGCAGAAGATAGATTTTCAAAAGTCATCCAAGAGTTCAATTATCTGTACCATAAAGACGCGATAAATATTGGGAGATTGATATGCGCAAGCAGATGTAAGCAATACACAATCCATTTATGTATGAAAACATCACATTTTTAAGTAAAATCTTTTTAGATTTATGTATTTTGTGAATATGAGTGTTTTGCCTGCATGTATATATGTTTCTGATGTGTGTTCCTGGTGTGTGTGTGTGTGTGTGTGTGTAGGTTAGAAGAGGGCTTTGAATCACCTCTCCCTCTCTCTCTCTCCCCCCTCCCTACCCCTGTCCATCCCCCTCTCCCTCTCCCTCTCCCTCCCCCCCCCCCCTTTCTTTTTTTTTTTTTTGGTTTTTTGAGACAGGGTTTCTCTGTGTAGCCCCGGCTGTCCTGGAACTCACTCTGTAGACCAGGCTGGCCTCGAACTCAAATCCGCCTGTCTCTGCCTCCCAAGTGCTGGGATTAAAGGCCTGGACCACCACTGCCAGGCTTAGATCCTTTCTCAAAAGACAAAACAGAACAGAAGTTATAGGGACTCAGTTTGTAGAGGAAAGCAGGATTAAATTAAGTTTGGCAATTAAGATTGTTTTCATAATGAAAGCCTCCACTACCTTGATTCAAGTTCACATTGATGGTGCTGTGCATAGTCATGTGTTCCTGTGAGAGCACTTGGGACCAAGGCAGAGACAGGCAGCTTTCTAAGAACTAAAGCCCAACCTGTGGGCTTAGGGAATTCTAGGTCAGCCAGGGATACAGAATGTTTCAAAAACAACAGAAGTTCATGTTAGTACTCTGATATTTGTGTTTTGGGAAACAGTCAAGTCAGCACTGAGGTACAGGATAGAATCTACAAACACCTTAAACGGAGGAAAGAGCTTTAAAGTTGACAGTGCTAACTCGGTTAAAAAATACCTGGTGGTGAGCAGTGGTGTGCACCTATTTAGAAAGTGTTTACTTTCAGGACATAGGAATTTGCAGAAGTGGTCAGCTCAGGAATGGGAATCTCACTAAACTGGGGGTTGGGGGAGGATATGCAAATAAACTAAGATTTTTTTTTTTAAAATAGGTTTATTGACAAGAAGGAAAGACTAAACCAACTTAAGAACAAGCAAGAAGAATTTCAGAAAGAGTAAGTGTTTATTCATCAATTTGTAGAGGTTGTCTCTTGCCATTTGTTGTAATCTGTTGCTTCTGTGTGCAGATTTGTGAATTGCCATCTCATTTAGCATATACTATCTTTTAAAGTTTAGGTCAGTGTGTAGAGTATCAGACTTATAGTGTTGGGGAAGAAATCAAGTCTGAGAGAAATAAAGCAGGAGAGAAGATCAAGTTTCTAGAAAATTTTGGCCTAAGACCTAGAGTCTTTTCCGCAGTAATCCCCAGTGGTTTGGACAGATGAGTCACTCACTTGGCCCTGCTCACTGGTGGCCAGTGGACCTATAAAAGTAGGCCTTATAAGACCTAAGTTAGAGTTCACACAGGTCATTCCCATAGGCCCTCACAGCTTCCATTCATCTTCTTTAGGAATTGGTAAAGGGCAGTGTGTCTTTTGGTAGTCAGTTTAGAGCAGTAAGTCCAGCTGTCTATATCAGTCTAATTCAGTCTCTGAGATAGAGTGTTTTAAAGATGCAGGTTCTTGGACTCCTCACCTCAGACACTCTGATGTAGTAAGTCTAGAGTGAGGCCCAGGACTGGATAGTTAGTCATCCCCTTATGACATTCTTACCTTAAATCTAAGTTTAAGAATTTCTATAGAACCTTCTGCCCTGAACTGACCTGGAAGCTCTCCTGGGGTGCCTGGTGGCCTTTAACTCTTACTAAAGCTGACCTTGGCCAAGGGTGGCAGTCTGCATCTATAATCAGAAGGCTGAGTTCAGGACTAACCTGGGCACATAGCAAGAGCCAATATTGAAGACAAAAGAAAAAAAACAAGGCCTGGAGAGATGGCTCAGCCTTGAGGAGCACCAGTTGCTCTTCCAGAGGCACTGGGTGTCACTGTCCACTCCGACCCGCGGAAAGAAACGGCGACACACGGAGTTCTTCTTCCCAACGCAGTTTATTCAGGAACCCTTACATTCTTCAAAAAGCCCTCCGAGCTTCTTCTCCACCGCCCTTAAATCCCTCTGCCTTCTCCAATCAGAGCCTGCTACATCGGTGCATGTGATAGGACAGTGGGTAAGGCAAGATCTGACGTTGCCCTATGTAGCAGATGGCCTGATTATGCGTAGCAGTGAGCCTGTGCAATATTGCCTGTGGGCGTGGCTTCTTCAGGGGCGTATGAGGAAGTCAGGTGTTAGCCTCAGGCGCATTTTGGAATGGCCGCCACACCCGCTTCCTACAACTGGGTTTCATTCCCAGTATCCACATGGAAGCTCACAGTAACAACAGTCTGCAACTATAGCTCCAGGAGATTGACCTGATGCTCTCATCTGGCATTTCCTCAGGTCCAGGTACACCCATGGTGCACAGACATACACATGCAGATAGAACACCCATATACATAATAAATAATTTTTTAAAAAATAGATTTATATCTTTTGAGCTTTATAAGATTGTCAGTAAGGGTTTCCATCTGTCTCTTTCCCATACAGAGTACTAAAAGCTATGGAAGGAAAGAGGCTAACAGATCAGTTGGTAAGTTCCAAAAAGTATTTAAGCTAATATTCTTCATACATGAACGTGCATGTTTTTAAGTTGATAGAGCCTAAAGAAATAATTAAATCTTTCTTTCTTTTTTCTTTTTCTTTTTTTTTTTGGTTTTTCTAGACAGAGTCTCTCTGTATAGCCTTGGCTGCCCTGGAACTCACTCTGTAGACCAGGCTGGCCTCGAACTCAGAAATCCACCTCCCTCTGCCTCCCAAGTGCTGGGATTAAAGGTGTGCGCCACCACTGCCCGGCGAAATAATTCTTTAATTTAGTTTTTCACCACATTTGACAGCCTGGTGTTTAAATTTATTTGTAATATGGCCTTCTAAACTTTACATGGAGATATGCCAAATGGAATAGGCAAAATTAAATTATACAATCGTCATAAAGGATAATTATACAGATATGCTCTTGGCATACTAATACAGAATCAATAGAGCATTCGTTTTGTAAAGATTATTCATAATAAACACATGATTAAATGTAAAATGCTAAAGATTCAGCAAGAGCTGTGCATGGGTCTGTGTGCCTCGAATCCCAGTTCTTGGGAGAGGACTGACTATAAGAAGGTTGGGACTTGGAGTGAGCTGGGCCTGCATGAGATTCCAGCTTCAAAAAAAAGAAAAATAATTTAGCAGTGGACTTAATGCAGTTTGAGGTTGTTAAGACCTTTAGAAGCCACAGACAAAAGCATTTTGGCATAGTAAACTAATTTAAAAGCTTTGCACATTAAACAGAGTTAACCACTAAGCTGGTGAATGAACACAGGTGTGTAGATTAGGGCCTTTTGACCTCTTCCTGCTGTCCACAGCATCAGAGACACTTGACTTGGGGATAGTCTGTGCTGCTGACAGAGCACTCACAGACCACTTGTGTGGTCAACAAGTTCCTCCTGAGAAATGAACACAGGACACAGAGACGTACAGGTAGCAAACCAAAGTTAGTACAGGAATGCTCTAGGTTCAGGAGTTGAGAAGAACCCATGGCCTGTGGAGCTAGCTGCCTTTGTCTCAGCAAATCTTATAACTGTGTCTGGTTAATGTGGCAAATCCATTTTAATTGTGTAAAAATGTGGTTATATATACATATCCAAAGGAACTATGTCTGTGATAGAACTTTCAATGGAAAAAAGGTAAGAAGATACTGTCATTCCCTTTGTATGTGTATTTTAAGTATACTCTAAATGATATGTGGTGGCCAGGTGTTAGCCCTGAAGTCTAGCCTGGTGGAGGACCACATGCTGAGCAGTCATGGCCCCCCCCCCCCCCAAAGAGCTCATCCCTGACAAGGTGAAGGGACTCAATACAATGGTCAACTTTTTTTTGTAGTGTCTAGCAGTAGCATCATGTATAATTTTTATGACAGTTAAAGAATATAAATGACTCATGCTGTGAATGTTATAAATAAATAAGATGTTCAGTGGAAACACTTCCTAAACTCTTTATAACATTCTCCCTTTTCTGTAGAATCCTCAGCCTGACTTAGTGATACACCGTGGAGAGGCTAAAAGCAGGAGGATCATGAGTTTTAAGGTCAGGCTATATAATAGCATAGTGCTCACAAGATAAACCTAGGAGCAGATATATTGAGGTTCTCTAAAGGGACAGAGCTGATAGAGAGAATCTGTATATATGTACAAAGGAGCATGGCTTACCAGCTGTGTCCAGCCTGTCTTACAGTGGCTATCCACCAAAGTCCACAAGGCTGGATGTCTCAGCTGGTCTGTAGTACATGTCAGAATCCTAAAGAAGTAGGCTCTAATGCCACCGAAGGAACACCTCAGGAGCAGGGTAGATGGCCTTGGTAGTGACAGTGAGGGCACGCTGGCACGTCTTTCATACAGAGTGCATGAGGTGAGCCAGATTTAGGATTAATCTTCAAACCTCAGATGATCTGTGAGGTAGGAAGATGTCTTCCTACCTCACTCAAATAATCCAGTTAACCAAATACCCCTCACATATATTCCCAGTTGCTTGGGTTTTTCCTGAATTCTGAATGGAGTCAAGTTGACAACCAAGAATAAACATCACAAGTCTACCACCCCTTGTCAACTTGACATACAATCATATTTGCTCATGTCACACTTAATTTCCAAATGAAAACAATAACTAGGTCATAATTATACCTAATATGATATAAATATCCCACATACAATTGCAAACACATTGTATATTTTAGGCTAGGTAGCAATCCCTTGGGGGACATTCTTTTAGTATCTCATAACTTAGATGTGATAACCATTGATATTATCTCAATTGATGTTTTATTACATGATCAAGAAATCTGTCTAAGCACATTCATACAAAATATGACAGAAATAACCCATGTCAATTTTAACCCACATTATTGCAGCTGGTCAAGTGGCTTTAATTGGTATTATTACTGTCCTTTACTGCCCATTCTGTATTTCCTCCACCTTCAGTAAGCATGATAGCATCAAGATAAGACCAAAAGGATCTCCTGCATTCCAGGCAGATCTTTTTTACTTCTGTTGAGGAGAAACAAATCAGTTTCTTCATGGGAATTAGGATCATTCACCTTGCTAACATTGTATTCCTTTCTCTCTCTCTCTCTCTCTTTTTTTTTTTTTTTTTTTTTTGTTTTTCAAGACAGGGTTTCTCTGTATAGTCTTGGCTGTCCTGGAACTCACTCTGTAGACCAGGCTGGCCTCAAACTCAGAAATCCACCTGCCTCTGCCTCCCAAGTGCTGGGATTAAAGGCGTGCGCCACCACCACCCAGCATATTCCTTTCTCTTGAGGGCACCAAAAGCCCAAAGTAGTTAGTGGGAGTCTGAGCTTCCAGATCAAGGGAATGTTTGTGGTGTCTCCTGGCCGGAGTGCTCACTACTCTACAACCAATGAGCCAGCAGAACTTAAGGTCATGGGAACAGGAAGCAAAACCTTTCCTAATGAGTCACCAGGGCTGAGAGTAGAACCGTTCCATTCTTCACCCCTGGATTATTGGACTCATGGATCCTGGCTATGGGAGAAATTATACCATATATGCTGATTCAAAGCATTATCCTGCCTTCTGAGGAACCCTGGCTCAGTCCTCCAGGCTGCTATCACCTAAATTGGCACTGTACCTGTGTCTTCAAAAGGCTATTATATGGCCCGCGTGCAATCGTCTCGCCAGCAAGAACACACGCGGCAACACACCAGGATCCTTCCGCAGCAAACGTTTATTCCAAAAGAAAATGGAGGAAGACCCCAGGCCCGGAAAAGGCACTGCTTATATACCCTTAGAGCGGTGTGTTCACCTCTGACTGGCTGCTTACTCGTTGCCCACCAAAACGCCCTGGGATGGGCTTTGACTTTGGCGCGCTTTTACCATAGCACAGGCGCAGTTTACTTGTTTACTAGGAGGAGCACCAGATGCCAGCGCCATCTTGCAATGGCGGATTCTGCCAGCACAAGCTGCGGCTTCCTACATCTCCCCCTTTTTTGTTTTATTACAGAGGGTGGTAGTTGAGATCCTTGGGAAGGTTTTGTAACTCCCATATTTGGGGGTCTCATGGCGGGTCTGAGTCTCTTTGGAGGGCGGTGCTCAAACTCTTACCCGTCACTGGGTCAGCCTCCTCACCCAGGGCTGCCCTGTCTTAGGTGGCCGAGGCTTATCCGTCCACTCCGTCATTCACTTACCAGACCTACTATCCGTGGAACGAACACCTTAGTGGGCAGGGACTGTGTACAGATATGTTTGAGGCTTCATAGGGTGTCTTCACCAAAAGCCCTTGGGGTACAGCGGCTGAGGAATCTGTCTACTGGCTATTTCCTTTTGTTTTGTTAAACAGGCACTGGTCAATGTCCCGTGTCTTAGGCTAGCTGATGTTCTTCCATAGCCAGCACCAAAGAATGGTGAGCTCCCTGTCTTAGGCTACGAGGGTCGCGCCCCCACACCTGGCATTCTCAGAATGTGCGCCCCAGGTTGTGGCCACTGGTAATGCCCGTCACCGGGTAAACTCACAGCTCATGGTGTACCTCTGGCATATGGCATCAACCTATTCCCGTCGTTGGGACCAATGGCAGCTGGCCTGGAGACGAAAAGATGGAGCTGCCCTTGGCCTGTCTGGCACGGTACCAATATGACTCAAACTCAAGCCCGATCAAGCAAATTCCATCATGGGGGAATAAGCGATCAAGGACTAATAGTTTAAGACAGTCTCCCTTACCCTACCAGGTGCAGTGGAAACAAGTCCTCTGGGTGCAATGGCTAAGGGAAACAGAAAGAGATGCAAACACCCATCCCTGTGCAATGGAGTCATCTCCTAGGGGTGCAAAGGCTGTTTGCCTCAAATTCAGGTACCACAGCTACACAGACTAGGACCAGCCAGGCCAAGACTCCTCACCGACCCAGTGCAATGGGCAAATCCCTTGGGGTGCAACGGCTGACGGCCCAACATTTAGCACCACCACTAGTGAGGGGGAGACTACTTATTTTCGAAGCAGTGATAGCCACACTGCAGGGGAAGCCCCTAGTTCTATGGCCACAAGCGCCTGGGCAATAATAGCCTTGTCACGATTTTGTTGAGCTCTGAGTTTGCAAACCAACCAAAGCATGAACACTAATCCGCAACATAGGGCGTACCAAACAGGCCTACTCCCACCCACTTAAAAAAAAAAAAGAAGAAAGCTGAAGAGATCCAGGAGGAGAGTCCCTCAGTCAGGGACAGATCCACGAGGGTCGAGTTGATGGCCACCACAGCCGCTCTCAATTTTTGAGTGTCTCATCGAAGTTTTCTGACCAATTTCCTGCAAGATATTGAAACAATTTCCTGGACAGATTAGCTACATTATGTCTGACTGGTATGGGTTTTTGGAAAGGCAGATAATATGGCCCATCATTGTTCCCCCGATATACTAGGAATCTGTATCCCTTGGATCAGCACGAGGGCTGTCATCAGAGTTTGGAGGGTCCGCCTGGGTGCCATCTTCTAATATCGAGAGTCGTCGCGTCAGTCGCTCCGGTAGCCAAAACGGGTTGTCTTCTTCCTGCGGAAAAACACAAACCGCTCCCCTGGCTCTTATTAAAATAGCATCTGGGCCTTTCCATTGTCCGGTCAAGATGTCCTTCCATTTGACCCTCTCTTTTGGCCTGTCAGGCTCTAAACAGTGACGGTCAGCAGCCGAATGGCCCTGACTGTCCAGATTTTTAAAATATTGAGGGTAAAAAGTATCATTATCTCTAACTCCTGGCCCATAAGCTGTTTTGAATTTCTTTTGAGTCTGAGGCTGACACCTCCCTAAGGAACAAACAAGGCAATAAACAAATTCTAGAAAACACCCTTATAGGGGCAGGTCAGGACAAAGGGAATGTCTGAAATCCAAGCTCCTGCCTCGCCCACTCTGTGTATAGCCTTAATTTAAATGTAAATTTTTTAATCTTGGCCTATATCCTGAGGCCTGGCCCAAAGATTATCCTTCCTGTACCAAGGACAAGTTTGTCAGGTAACCTTGGTCACCTGACTGTTGCTCAAGCCTCTGTTCTTGGGACAGTCACTTTAAAAACTATCTAAATTTCCACATTTAAAACATCTTTTATCTTTACGGTTCTGTGCAAGCTATGGCCAGACCCTGATTGTATGAGGGTGCAATTTCATCACAAAGACGAATGTATCTAAGTCTGTCTTTGCTTGTATGGTCTGAGACCTGTGTAGGCAGTTCAACCTGATTAACATCACACTGACCTTCTCCTACAAGCATGTTAAGATCCCAGTCTGCATTGTCTTAATTTAAATGTAAATGTTCTTAATCTCTAGCAGGCCAGCACTGTATCACAACTAGTTTTAAATATTTTTATTTAATTCTACCTGCTGTCTCCTTTCCTATAAACATGGGCGAATCAAAAGAAGAATCTCAAACTCAAGATTAGAACTGCCAACTGTAGCCAATGGAATACTGGCAGTTTAACTAAATTTTTAAATTTCTTTTGTAACATTAGAGTATAACCATTAATTTTGAGAAGCAAAACCAGAAGCAATGTAAACAATCTATTTTTTCTAAAATCAACACCAAGTAGATTACCTTTATGTTACAAAGTTTTGCTGCCAATTCTTATACATGAGTGTGTGCAGCAGCTTTTAATATCTCATTGAAGAGATATTGTTTTAAAATCTTACTTTTTATACACCTGGTTTCTGAATGATTCTAACCCTGAGTTAGTTTTACGCCAACTTTCCGTTACCAAAGTTGTAAATTTCTAATCACACCCAATAATTTAAGCCAATAGTCTATAACCAAGACATGTAGAACATTTTTATACTTTTAAAACCAATCAGAAACAACAATGAAGTGGCTATGCATCTTATATATTTAGACCAAACAAAATTTGTTGCCTTTTCTAGCTGTAATTTCAAGAGAAAAGCACCTTGTCACAGAGATTTTTCTAGGACAAAACAACTCTTAGCTTCCTTATGAAACCCAAAAAGCTACTGATCTCTTTTAAAAGCAGCTTATGCCAACTTCAATTCTTGAAAAGGCCTTTTCAGCTCAGCTCAACTCTTAGCTACAGGCAACCTATCTGTACACATTAAGACTGTCTTTAAAACAAAGTTAAACTAGCCCAAGGGTTGGATCAAGCAGTTTTAACGATCTTTTCTTTTGAACATGTAACAAACACAACATTTAGACAATGAAACAAAAGATAAACACAAACACGTGGACATTGGCGCGCCAAGGACAGACAACAAAGAAGGACATCTAAGAGCTAAATAAAGAGAAATTCAGGACGTCTACCGAATTTCTTTCTTTTTCTAGATGAGCTCTGAAATAGCCTTTTCATTTTTTTTGCTGACACAGCTCAGAGAGAGGACACCTGTATTTCTAAAACCCTTTCTCTCTCTCTCATATTCAAGATCTAACTTTTCATCTCGTTCATTGGAGATGTAGCAGGCAGCTATTGTAACACCTCAGTACCCTGCTTTCTAGTTTTCCAATTCCTTCTAACCCTGCTCTTCCCACCTGAAGCAGCTCTTTCCTCTTCAGAGGAAGTTAGCTCCTCCGACTCAGAGCCACCAAGCCCCGAGGCCTCCAGTTCCTTTACTGGATAAAGAGGTTTCTTTTCTGGGGCCTTTTCTCCTTTCCTACGTTCCTCTCCCAGGGCATACTTTCCCTCATCTTTCGCTTCCTCGGACTGTGTGTCTTTGGAAGGGTTTTTTTTTCTTAGACATGCCTTTTTTCTTTCTGAGCTCTTAAGCGCTTATGCTGCTCTGTTTCTGACCTGCTGGCCTGTAATCCGTCTAGCACTCCCTGGCCCGCCACTACAGTCGAGTGGCATTTCTCATCCCGCAAAACCAGAAGGAAGAGAACGAATGCTGCCTGGGGAGGGAGACGAAATAGATCAAGTCCAAACATGCCTCTCAGAGCTTTACTTTTGTCCTGCGGTTCTGAACCCTTCCCGTAAACGGGGGTCTTCTCAGTGCTGGCGATGGTGAATTTTCCTGGGTTTCGGCACCACTTGTGGCCCGCGTGCAATCGTCTCGCCAGCAAGAACACACGCGGCAACACACCAGGATCCTTCCGCAGCAAATGTTTATTCCAAATGAAAATGGAGGAAGACCCCAGGCCCGGAAAAGGCACTGCTTATATACCCTTAGAGCGGTGTGTTCACCTCTGACTGGCTGCTTACTCGTTGCCCGCCAAAACGCCCTGGGATGGGCTTTGACTTTGGCGCGCTTTTACCATAGCACAGGCGCAGTTTACTTGTTTACTAGGAGGAGCACCAGATGCCAGCGCCATCTTGCAATGGCGAATTCTGCCAGCACAAGCCGCGGCTTCCTACACTATTACATCTTTCTATAAGGCCAGCTGATTCAGGATGGAGGGAGAATGGTACAACCAGTGGAGTGGGCCAGATGGCTCAGCAGGTAAAGGACCGCATAAGCATCATGACCTGAGCTCCATTCCCCACTCCTCCTTCCATCCCCCATCCCTGAAATCCACAGAACAGTGGAAGGAGAGTGTCAATGCCAGAGATATCCTTTGACCTCTATGAGTACTCCATGACCCACCTGCACAACAATATTTATAGACAAATAAAAATAACAAACCCCTGCCATCTGTTCTGTATCTTGTGTCATGGACTGCTTATGTAAATGTTAACACTGTAAATACTTCGTTTTAGACTTTTAATTGCCTACAATTAGGGAGACAATACAAAATAATTAACTAACGCGTTGTTTTAGTAACTTTTCCATTGCAACAAAACACCACAACCACTGGGCAGTGGTGGTGCACACCTTTAATCCCAGCACTTGGAGGCAGAGGCAAGCGAATTTCTGAGTCTACAGAGTGAGTTCCAGGACAGCCAGGGCTACACAGAGAAATCCTGTTTCAAAAAACCAAACCAAAACAACAACAACAAAAGACACCACAACCAAGGCAACTTATAAAAGAGAGCACTTAATGTTTCAGAGTGTTAAGAGTCCATTATGGGAAGTGAATGGACAGCTGAGAGCTCATATCTTTATCCATGACCACGAGACAGAGAGAAAAAAGGTACAGGGGGGTCATTTGAAACCTCAGATCCTGCCCTCAGTAATAACACCTCCTCCAGCAAAGCCATCCACCTCATCTTTCCAGAACTGTCCACCAACTGGGGACCAAATGTCCAAAACAGTCCAAGCCTGTGGGCCATTCTCCTTCAAACCACCACATATGTCCTATAAGCTTCGATGCTTTATTTACTAGGGGAACTGTGTCTGGCTGCACTGTTCCTAGTACTGTAAAGGGACAGTTTCATGTTTCATGTAATTCTCAGTCATCTCAATGTGGAACTAGGTTGGTGTTTTTGTTTTTTTCTTTTCTTTTTTTTCATTTTTTTTCTTTTTTTCTTTTTTCAGGTTGGTGTTTTTGTAATGATACACACACTCTGAATCTGCTTTGTCCTTGTGGTAGCCACTGGGCATGTTGTTGACCCTATGACATTTGGATAGTATATAGGGAAATGAATCTTTGTGTATTATTATTTTTTTATGATGGGTTTGAAGCAGGATTTTATGTAGCTCAGGGTGGCCTTGAAGTCATTTTTTAAAGATTTTTTTTGAAAGATTTATTTTATGTATAAGAGTACACGTAGCTATCTTCAGACACACCAGAAGAGGACATCAGATTCCATTACAATGTTTGTGAGCCACCATGTGGTTGCTGGGAATTGAACTCAGGACCTCTGGAATAAGTGTACTTGCCCACTGAGCCATCTCTTCAGCCCGGCCTTGAAGTCCTGAACTTTGTGTTTCTACCTCCCAAATGCTAGGATTCTAGTTGTACATCCCATATGCAGCTTAGCCAGGTTGCTAGGTAGCTAGGTACTGGGAGAGGGAAGTTTAGAAGCGTTGTCCTCTGTGCTCTAACCCATGAGAAAGAACTACATTAAGTTTCTTTCTCATTGATTTCCCAGCAGCTACTGTATGGAGCCATAAAATACATTCCCTCTGTAATCTACTGTAGGTTCACACAGTCATAACAAATGGAGTCACCACAGGTTTTTCTTCACTCCTCCTAAGGTGGACCGAGAAATCAGCAGTAATTCAGGTAGATAATCCCATGAAACTGACATTTGTGACATCTGTTGTGTATTTTTTAAGAGATGGAAAATAATGTCATGCAAGATGAGGATTGAACAGCTGAAGCAAACAATATGTAAAGGAAATGAGGAAATGAAGAAAAGTAAGTAATCCCTTCCCTGCGAGTGGCATGGGGTGAGTGGAGAGGCAAGGTTGGCCTCGGGGCTGGTTCGTTTTCTCATGCTGTGAGTACACACCTGACAGACGCACCTTCTTCAAAGGAGGAAGGGTTTACTTGACTTACAGCTGAACAGTATTAGGGCCCATCAAGGCAGGGAGCTGAGGCAGCAGGTCAGATTGCAGCCACAGTCGGGAGGGAGAGACATGTGCCCATATGTAGCTTGCTTCCTGTTTTTGTTCAGTCAGGGAACCTCACTTAAAGCAGTACCTACCTCCTTCAATTAACCCAATGTAGAAACTCCCTGACAAACATACCGAGAGGTTTATCTCCTGTAGTACTTGATCCTGTCAAGTTGGCATATTGACCATCAAAGGGTATTAGTGACTTTGGAAACTTGACTCTGGGTTGCAAATACCAAATCCCTAATTTGAAATGCTTTTAAATTAGAAGTGCTTTGTATTTCAGATTTCTTTGAATCTTGGAATGTTTGTGTGTGTGCATGTGTGCATTGAGATATGCTGTTGGGACCTATGTAAAGATGAAATAGTTTGTGTTTCAGTGTGGAATTAAAATTGTAGCATTTTGTTGGCATTCAGTGTCTGGATTTTAAGGCTAGGTGTAGTGGCATACACCTTTAATCGCAGTACTCTGACAGGCCAACCTGGTTTTATACATACAGGACAGCCACGGCTACATAGTGAGAACCTGTCTTAAAATGAAAGAAGGAAAACCTCTGGTTTTAGAACTGTTCAGAATTATGTATTTATTGAAAAAGGATCTTGCTCTGTAGCCCAAGTTGGCCAGAAGTTCACAAGCCTCTTCTCATCTGTGTCACTGTGCACAGCCCCATAGTCCAGGTTATTTGACCAGGGAAGTGGAGCTCTGCTTGCTTTCCTCTTTCTCTAAGACATGTGGATAGGTTTCTCAGTCATTTACGTCCCTGTCTAAAGGGAAGGACCGGGAATGTCTTCACTTTAGTGCTTTGCGTGCCCTCAGCTCTTGGCTTGCCTAGAACACCATAAAAACCAAACCCTGGGGTGCATTTGCAGTCTGACTTGGCACTTACTTGTGATATTCAGTATGCATGGCAGGAATGTGAAAGCATGGCCTTTCCCTCTAGTGAATTCCACTTCATAAAACCTGTACTGGTTTCACATTACAGATGCATGGTTTAGATGTTATCATAGATGGTAATCAAATTTTATGTCCTCTATGAAGCCTTATATCCTTGGACATGCTTATTTCTTGAGATTAGTGGTTTACTTGCCTTTTGTTGCTGTGGTAAAACACCACATACCGCCGGGCGGTGGTGGCGCACGCCTTTAATCCCAGCACTTGGGAGGCAGAGGCAGGCGGATTTCTGAGTTCGAGAGTTCGAGGCTAGCCTGGTCTACAGCGTGAGTTCCAGGACAGCCAGGGCTACACAGAGAAACCCTGTCTCGAAAAACCAAAAAAAAAAAAAAAAAACAAAAAACCAAAAAAAAAAAAACACCACATACCAAGACAGCTTATGAAAGAAAACATTTAACTAGGCTTGTGATTCGAGGTTAGTGGCCATGATGGTGGAGCAAAGGCATGGTAGCAGGAACAACCGAGAGCTCACATGCCAAGCCATGAGCTGGAAGCAGAGAGTTCAGTGGGAATAGCAGGAGTTTAAGTCTTAAAGCCAATGTCTGAGCCACACCTCCTAGTCCTTCCTAACCTCAACCAACTGGAGACCATTTAAACATCCGAGTGTCTAGGGCCATTCTCATTCAAACCACCTTTAGTCTTAAAGCTTAGAGTAACCGCCATTATCTCAGGAATCCCATGGTTTAGAAGTAGTGACTTTATGATGGCATGTGATGGTATCAGCGCTTCCTTCCATTGAAGGTGCTTAGTCTCATGATGTGTGTATGTGATGTTGGATGGGCTGGACATCTGGGGCATCAGGGCAGCATGGTGTATGCGTGCATATTTGCAGGGAGAAGGGACTCCCAATGTTTGCTTGCACTTTCCAGGGCTTGGGTTCAGCAGCATTAGAAGTTGTTATTTAATATTGGCTCTCCGTTTCCCCAACATCCTTCAGTGATACTCAGGCAAGTGTCCCATCCTTTTGAAGCTGCACAGTATGCTGAACATGTACATGCGTAAAACTTTCATGAGCTCGTTCTAACAGGTTCCTCAACTTTAAAACAAAAAGTTGATCACAAAGCAGTGTACCCTGTATGTAGCACATTATGAGACCTTGTGACCATCTGGGAATTCAGGCAGAGAAATCCAGAGTCTGTTTTAGGCCTAGAGCAGCATCATATTGCTGTTGAGAAAAGATTGTGTATACTATTGTAGATTTCCAGACTGCTGTCAGCTCAGATCCAGGACCTCACTTTGGGCTGCTGTGGGTAGTTTGGATGACTGCCAGAGTTGAAAACTGGTGCTTGATAGAAGCTGCCCCTTAGAGCCTCCTCACTGTCTTGCAAGCTGTGTTAAAGGAGTTGACAAATTTTAGAAGTGACTCATGAACTCAGCTCACAGATAGAGAGGTGCTACGAGTCATTGTTTCTTGAAGCTGTGTTGTTGAGATATACCTGTGTAGTCCAGTGAAGGGCACAGACTGACACTGTAGAGCCCGACTTACACCTTCACAGTGCACTGTAATACAGATTCATCGAGGGACATGTGTAGGGGAGTTAGTTATGTGCATTTGAAAGCTGAGGTTCAGCTGGGCGGTGGTGTCACACACCTTTAATCCCAGCACTTGGGAGGCAGAGGCAGGTGGATTTCTGAGTTCGAGGCCAGCCTGGTCTACAGAGTGAGTTCCAGGACAGCCAGGGCTACACAGAGAAACCCTGTCTCGAAAAGCAAAACAACAACAATTCAGTAGGAAAAAAAAGCTAGGTGGCAAGGCTGTGAGCGAGTGTTCAATCTGAATCTGTACTATTTGCCAAAGTAAAACATCAAGGGAAAGCTGAAGTTCATCTGGCTACAGAGTGGACTAGAAATGTCATCAAGTGCTTTGATGGTTGACGGGGAGACAATAGCAGGGGACAAGGGAACCTTGAGTTCCAAAATCACGGATTGCAGATGGGTGACCGAGTAGCCTGTCACTAGTGCTGGACAAGATACTGAATTTTAAATTGTCTTGTCTGGTTCAGGACCTCAGCTAGACAGATTCCTGAGTCTTGCCTAGGGGTCAGTAAATATCATGGACGTGACAGAATGTTTAAACTAAATAAAAGTAAACTTGTATGGGACCAAGTCCTGGGATGGTTTTACCCAGACATTTACATGGAGCTAGCTTGGGAAAGGGATGTTTCTGAGAGGAGATGGGAAACCTAGAAAGCTCATCCCAGAGCTAACCTGCAAGCTTAGGTCCTCAGAGACGGTAGCTGTGTCCACAGGTGCTTGTGAGGTACCTGTCACAGCCTGCTTAGGAGGTGACAAGACTTCAGTGGGTCTGGAATGAAGGTCTAAGTGCTGCAGAAGCCAGAGTCCAGATTGTGAGAGACAGGTCTGGGGAGCATTTATGGGTGGAGCATTTCTAATAAGAAAAATCTGGAAATCGGGAAAAATAGGCACAAATACGGCACATTCCCAGATGGATAGTGTTTGAACAACAGAGTGGGGCTGGGTGTTTGCAGGATAGGAACTACTTTAGTACGGATTCATCCAGTCCCTAACATTGAGTGGGCCCACCTGAGAAGATCAAGTGTGAAGGCACTGAACACAGCCAGGGTAAAAGGGATCTGTGGCTATGCCTGTTTGGAGGTTCACAAGTGTGGTCTGTGTTTGAGAACTGCCAGGCATTGTCTGTAGTTTCTAGATTGTGCAAGAGCCTCGCATAGTGACTGGCACCTGTAATCCCATCCCAGCATTCAGCAGGTTGAGGCAAGAGGATCGTGTCCCCACCCCACCCCCTCATGGGGCGTGCAGAAAGTGGGCAGTGGGTAGGTTGGAGTTGAGCCACCTAAAGATGGGTGGCACTTAAGTGATACGTAATCAGAAGAAACAGTGGACACGGAGAGAAAGGCTTGAGTCAACTGTAGACCAGCTAATGGGACCAACGCAGGACGACTGCTGGGGCTGCACACAGGTCCAGAGGAAGTGCTTTCTAGGTGTGTGGCTTAGAGTGCACCGTGTATTTTTGTGACTCAAATGGAGCTTAACTTGAGTACAGTGACCCCAGCAAACCTCAGACTCCGTGACCCAAGGAATCTCTCTAGGAAGGCCCTAGTCAAGTTTCTCTGAGTACGCAGTAGTGAGTGTTGGGGGGAGCGGTGCTGTGAGGTGCCTGCAGGTCAGAGCTCCTCAGAGTCTTGTGGTTTGCTGCATAGATTCTGAAGGCCTCCTCAAGAACAAGGAAAAGAACCAGAAGCTTTACAGCCGAGCACAGCGGCACCAAGAGAAAAAGGAGAAGATTCAGCGGCACAACCGCAAGCTTGGAGACCTGGTGGAGAAGAAAACCATTGACTTGAAGAATCACTATGAGCGGTTGGCACATCTTCGAAGATTGCATATCCTAGAGCTCACCTCCATCATCTTCCCAATCGACGAAGTGAAGACTTCTGGGAGGTACAGTAAGAAGGCTTTGGCGTGGGGCGGTGCTGAGCATTATTTTCTCAGTATGTCAGCACTTAACTTTACTGAGCCTCGGTTGAGGGTCAGTTGGTTTTCCTGATAATGAAACTTGATTCTTTTTGTTTGTTTGTTTTGGTTTTTCGAGACAGGGTTTCTCTGTGTAGCCCAGGCTGTCCTGGAACTCACCCTGTAGACCAGGCTGGCCTTGAACTCAGAAATCTACCTGCCTCTGCCTGCCAAGTGCTGGGATTAAAGGCGTGCGCCACCACTGCCTGGCATGAGCCCTGATCTTACAGACTGATTCTTTAATTGTGTTTTATTTTGCTTTGGGTTTCAGTATGGGGATTGGAGCTAGGCCTCTTGATTTTTATCATTGCATTTTCTTAAGTTGGTAATTTGGGTGAAACTTTAAGACTCTCACAACTTTTTCATAAGGTTGAAATTTTTTTTTTTTACCAAGGAAGCATGTCCCCATGTAATTGTGTAGCAAATGATGACTTGTGGTCAACAGAGGCCATGCAGTCCACGATGCTGTACCATGTAGTGAGCGGTCTGTATTTACCTGAGTGTATGCTACTGTTCACATGGTGCCGCTCTTGCTGACTGTGTTTCTCAGGATTGCACACACATGTGTAGTGCTGGACAAGACGTGAAGAAAACCTCGCCTTCTGTGCGTGCTTCTCTTAGCTTGTGATTTTTTTCTTAGATGTATTAGATAAATACTGTGGTTGTGGTATAATTTTTGTTGTTCGTTTGCAGAGACCCTGCAGACGTGTCTTCAGAGACTGATAGCGCCATGACCTCCAGCATGGTGAGCAAGCTTGCTGAGGCCCGGAGGACAACTTACCTCTCTGGAAGATGGGTCTGTGATGACCACAATGGTGACACCAGCATTAGTATCACAGGCCCTTGGATTAGCCTACCAAACAACGGGGACTACTCTGCTTACTATAATTGGGTAGAAGAGAAGAAAACAGCCCAAGGACCTGGTGAGAAACAAAAATATTCTTTGAAAATGTATTTATGTACATATTTTGTGAGAGAAACTTTACATGCCCGAGTGAACAGCGTTCGGCAAGCATGAGCTCTGGTCATCTAAAATCTTTTCCTGATCCCAGAGAAAGCTCTGTGCTCTGAAGGTGTCCCACTGTCCCTTTTCCTCTTCCTCAGCTCTAGGGAGGCAGTGTGCTTTCTAGTGATAGTGAGATGATGCAGTGTGTAATTTTTGTGTCTGCTTTGTTTGATTTAGCCTTCTTTTACAAAGTTCATATTATAGCATATGTTAGTACTCCACTGCTCTTTATGGCTAAATACTCCTCCATTGTATGGATAGACCACATTTTACATACTGATGTAAAATGATTGATGACTGGTGACTACTCATTTCTGGGTTAGTATTAATTCATAAAGAAGGACAAAAAAGAATTCTGATTACATGTGACTGTTATCCCAGCATTCGGAAGACTGAGTCATGAGGATTGTCCAGAGTTCAAAGCCAGCTTGAGCTACAGAGCCAAGCCTTATCTTATCTCTTATGTCGGGAAGAAGGGAGGAGAAAAACTCACGTTTGTAAAGTGCTTCTTGCTATTTGACTGTTGGCTTTAGTTTATAGCTTCACACTATTGGAGTACTAAGTGGAAGTTGAAGTGCCCCTACAGTTTGTCTTCTGTGGAGAAGGATGGTTCATTCAGTCATTCAGCATATATTTCTGATATTGTCACCACGCAGAGTTATCATTTGGCACATATTTAGTGAGGGTGCACTTTGTGCCATGGACAGTGCTAGGTGCTGATGATAATAGGTTGCCTGAGAAAGGTGGGTAACCTTTTGTCCTTCCTTAGATGGCTTGTGTCCTGGTTTCATTTCTGTTATAAATTACCCAGAAAAAAAAAAGCAGCTTTGTGGAGAAAGGGTTTATTTTAGCTTGCACTTCCAGGTTACAGTTCATCCTTGGGAACATGTGAGGGCAAGAACTCAGCTCACTTTCTGTACTCTCACACAGTCCACAGGACTCACAGCAGCTAGGGCTTCCCATGGTGGTTAACATAATCGAGACAAACCCATGGACATGCCCTCAGGCTAACTTGCTCCAGGCTCTCCCCATTGATCCTTTCTCCTGGGACTTGGCTATGTTAAGTTGGTTTTGAAATCTAACCATCCCAGGTTGTGAAGAAGTGGCCAAGGGACCGTATTCCTGAGTTGGTGCTGAAAGAGCATCCAGCACATTTGGGGTAGGCAAAGGTACAGAGGAAGTGCTGACCCTTCCATCTTGAGAAATGGTCTTATGTAGTTCAGGCTGGCCTCCTACCCGAGCCTCCCAATGTTGGTATTAACAGGTATGAGCCACCACATGGGCTAGTTGGTCATTAATCATTTAGGTAATGCATTGCTAGGTCCAGACTTTTATTATGCTTAGTCTATTTCAGACTGTTTGTCTGACCATGGAGTAAGAGTGAAGTCTAGTTATCAGTAATATAATTCTAAAACTACAAGTGAAAACCTACCTGACTTCTGTGTGCACTCTCAGACATGGAGCATAACAACCCTGCCTACACTATCAGCGCTGCGCTGGGCTACGCCACACAGCTGGTCAACATTGTGTCTCACATACTGGACATCAATCTTCCTAAAAAGCTGTGCAATAGGTAAGTCGATACGGTTGCAATGCCGTCTGTCACTGTCGTCCATCTCTGTCTTCCTGGCGTGCCCTTTCACTAGCTGAGAGAAAAGGCAGTGTAAGCCCGAAAATGTTTGACTACAATGTAAGGCTGGTTCTGAGGATGACCCCCGTCTCATAGGTCACAGACGGGATCAGAAGAGTCCACAGACTCTGTCTGATTCTTGGGGAAGTAACTGAAGGAGGGATCAGGTTGTACAAGGAGGGCGTTACCAGTCTCCACGGGTATCAGTGGGGAGTAGAGGAGGGTTGTTTTGTTCTTATGAAAACCTGGTTTTAAATGTTTAAGGACACAGTCTACCCAGTTCACATTAAGGACACCCACCCTTCAGTTACCCTTGCCTTTCTAGCACATGTAAATGTCACTGGATTGTAGCAGCCTATGCTTAAGTGTTTTGCTTTTTTTGTTTTATTTGTATTAAAGCAGGGTCTCTTCATATATCCCAGCTGGTCTCAGGATCCTCCTGCGTCAGTATCTAGTTGTTGGGCTTTTAGGTGTGTGCTCAAGTAATTAACAGCCAGAATTTCAAATTTACTGTGAGAAGGGCTGTGGAGATCATTGAAAGCAGGAGGTGCATGTTTTCCTCCTGTTTTTTTATGTACTGAGGATTGAACCCAGATGGGCAAATTCTCTTCTTGCGAGCTATATCTGCAGTCCAGGGCATGAAGTAGGAAGGGAACAAGCCACAGATGGGGACAGGAAGAAGACTATAGGCAGAGAAGGCACAGAGTCCTAGGAGGCACAAGGCAGGAGAGGAGCACACACATGCTTCCTGGAATCTACAGCTGTCACTCCCAAGGATTGGATGGAGGTTGGTCCCCTATTGATGCTTCAGAAAGTGCGTTCCCATAGCAATCTCTCCCATAACATTTCCTGTTGGTGTGGCATGAGCTCCAGAGACAGAGTTGCTCAGTCACCGAGGTATATGCATTTGCAGTTTCTGTAGATGGGTAGAACTGCTCCCCAAGGGAACCTAGGAAGGAAGGGTCTGCTTCAGGCAGTTTACTAAGGAAGAATGTGCTGTGTTGATACTGAACTGTAGTTCTGTAGTCCAAACATATCCTTCAGAAGCAACATTTTAACAGGAACCTTCCTCAGACAGCAATCTTAGAAGCTGTGTGCTTGTCTTACAGTGAGTTCTGTGGAGAAAACCTCAGCAAACAGAAGCTGACCCGCGCAGTGAGGAAACTGAATGCAAACATCCTTTACCTTTGTTCTTCTCAGGTACCAGCCCTGTGCTTTGAACTCATTTTAATTTGCTGTATATTTGAAAGTATTAATTGAGCCTTTGCCTTTTTTTAGCATGTTAATTTAGATCAGTTGCAACCACTGCACACACTCAGGAACCTCATGCATCTGGTGAGCCCACACTCTGAGCACCTAGGCAGGTAAGTTGGATGTGTGGCTTTTCCCTAAGTAGTGTTTCTCTGTGATTGCTTTTTAGTCGTGCTCACTGGCATACTAGCCAGTGTTCCCTGAGTCCCTCATTCTGTGGGAAGGACAAAAGTTGTACGGTACTTTGTGCAAGGAAACAGCTGGTCATGTGTGGGCTTCTGCAGTCCCTTTGTAGTCATTCTGACAGAAAGTTGCAGTAGAGTACATTTAGCATGTGATGTGTCCTAGAGGAGCCAGGTTCTCTGGCTGCCAACTTGTCTTCTTTTGAAGCTCACTTGTTTCTTTTCTAACCTGCCCCTGGAAGCTATGCTGTCTCTTGGACATTTTCTTTTGTGCTTGCATATACTGTGTCTATGGATTTCTTTTCATCACCAGGTCAGTTTGGTCACCATTTGTTAGAGTTCATATAGTGAGCTGGCTTGGAATTTAGCAGCTCAAAGACAGAAGTCAGTAACAATGAATACCGCTCTGCTCCATGGTCTGCTCTAGCTGACTTCTTAGTTGCTAAGCCCCAAAGAGCACAGACTAGGAGAGGCTCGTCTTTGGTACCCTGCTCTAGGCGTTACCCACTGTCCTTGTTCTCATCAGCAGAGGCACATTTTTGTAGAGATGGAACATACCTGATGTGTATAGAAAATGGGCTTTTATTAGGTGTTTTTGCTCAAACTGTAGGCTAATGTAAGGACTCTTGTTGGTGTTTGTTACTATGGTATATTAAATGAGTTTTTGAGCTGGCTGAGGTGGCAAATGCCTGTAATCCGGCCACTCAGGAAGCTGACGCAGGAGGACCACAAATTAAGGCTAGCCTGAGCATCTTAGTAGGATGCTGCCTGCAGGGGCAGGAATATGACTGGGCGGTTAACATAGCCTAGCATGTGCAGCACTTAAATGTATTTGTTGGTTTGTTTGCATTTTTGGACTCATAGTTTCAACTCCCAAGTTGGGGAGCATCTGTAGATAGAAACCAGCGAGGTGTTCGTGGCACGTAGGTCTAGAATGGCCTTTTGGTGCTGGATTAGAGTGAACGAAGCAGCTGAGGGCTGAAATCTGTCATTGTTCTCTCAGCTAAGACAAGACCAGTGAGAACACAGCAGATGTGCAGACAAACCGATTCCAAGGACAGAGGGAGAATAAGAAGGGCAGGCCCCTTCTCAAACTATGTATATAAAGTTAATTTAAAAAAAAAATTTTTTGGGGGGTGGGGGGTCAGCAAGATAGCTTAGGTGAAGGAACTTGCCACCAGGCCTGATGACCTTTGTTCTCCCTGCCACACGTGGTGGGAGGAGAGACATGACTCCCACAAATTGTATGATTTTCACATGCTTGCTGTTGCTTTCCCGCCCCCAATAACACAAACAAACAAACAGACACATCAAGTTTTGTTTAATCTCAATATTTAGGAAACCCAGGCAAAAGGATTGTGTCTTTAAGGCCAGCCTAGGGTCATTTAGTAAGCTCTTGTCTCAAGTATTACACCCTATATTTCTTTATACTTACAGACCCTCCTATATTAGCATATAAATAGTATGCAGAGTACTATATACTATAGAAAAGAGAACTGAGTCTTGGAGCAGATGATGTGGCCATAGGACTGTGTTTCAGCTGAATTAGATGATCATGGTCTGCAGTGCACTAGTTGGCATTCAAGGGAGGGAAAAGTTGTCCTCATACTGTATCCTACATGTAAAACCAAGTTCCACATATAAAAGACCCTGTTTAAAATAAAATGTAAAAGACCTAAAAGAAAAGACCATTTTATACTCATAGGGTGGGGAAAGAAATTTTAACCAAGCCCTAACCTCAAAACTGTGTAAAACAGGAGGCACACATTACTGTGCAGGGACTAGTCTAGTAAGAAAGGCCCCACGCCTTACAGGGACAACAGTAAACAGGTTTGCAGCATCTACAGTAGAGAGAAAATAAAAATCTAGTGTCAGTCTTTCAATCAGTAATGGAAATGAAACCTAATAAAAAGATAGACAAGGGAGTCAGATTGCTCAGTCATGAATAAAGACATGGGGCGAGGGGCTCTCTGTGCAAGCACGGGACTCAAGTTCAGTTCCAGAGCCCATGGAAAGAGCCAGGTGAATGAGGTGGGACACGTGTAGTGAAATGGGAGGCCCAGACAGGACAATCACTCATCTTGCCTGGTGTATACAAGTTCTAAAAAAAAGTAGGTGAGATTCACTCCTGAAAGCTGTCCTGTGACCTCCACATGCAAGCCTGTTCCCTTCTGCTCGATGCCTGTCACACTAACACACACACACACACGGGGTGGGGGGAATGTAGCAAGGCGAGTCTCTTTCCTCTTACATATCCAATAATGCCAAACTCAGAGGCCTGTGGGCAGGAGAATGGTGGTGTCTTACGCAGCCCTCTGTCTGCACACAGGTCAGGACCCTTTGAAGTGCGAGCAGACCTCGAGGAGTCCATGGAATTTGTGGACCCTGGAGTTGCTGGAGAATCAGATGTGAGTGGAGATGAGCGTGTAAGCGATGAGGAGACTGACCTGGGCACAGACTGGGAGAACCTGCCGAGCCCCCGGTTCTGTGACATCCCTTCCCAGCCTGTGGAAGTATCCCAGAGCCAGAGCACCCAGGTGTCCCCGCCCATAGCCAGCAGCAGCGCTGGTGGGATGATCTCCTCTGCTGCAGCCTCGGTGACCTCTTGGTTCAAAGCTTACACTGGACACCGCTAACGAGTGGGGATCAAAAATGCTGGTTTTGTGTCTCGGAATCTTTCCCACAGCACTCTCATAACCTTGTCTGTGTAGTTGTGACAGTGCTTGGAAGCTGTCCGAAGGACAAGATTAGTACTAGGGCCTGAGCCTGGGGCTTCCTGGGCCCTGGTCCTCAGGATGCTTGTTCCTAGGTGCCGAGTCTTCCTGACACTTAAGTTCTAGGCTTTGGTCAGATCACAAGGAAGCATTTCTTGCTGTTGAAGAATGAAAGACAAAGGCTGAGTTTGTTTTTCTGTCATCCTCTTGAGAGACCGGCCAGCAGGCCAGCAGCAGTTTTGGCCTCATCGGGGAGAGGTGGTTGTCTGGGGAGGGAGGAAATGAAAGCTTATTGCTGTCAGTCATTGTGTGTCACATTCCTAATTTCCTACTACACACCAAAGAAACTGAGGTCTTTATTTCTGTGGACCCATGTCTGCAAATGGGGGAATCAGCTGGGATGTTCAGATGTCTAAACAGTTCTCTTGTATTCTGAAGGGAGATAAAGTCATTGGAGTTCTCTGTGCTACATTCACTTTAAAACGGGACTTTCCCCTTCCTTTATCATTCCCTGGATGAGCTAAACGCTACCTGAGCATTGATTGAACACTTGATTAAGTGGTCACTTGCTTGCTGTCCGGTTTCTTCCTTGGTGTTGGTGGTAGGGTTAACTAGTAGCAGATGTTTCCAGGGAACTCTTCCTGCTTGTCCCTGGGGTCTCCAAGGCTCTGAAGACAGCACCTTGTGCAGAGCGTGATACCGAGCAGCTGTCCCAGGAAATACTCAGCTACCAAGGGGTTTCCCCAAGAGGCCATTCTAATGACAATCTTATAGAGAGCTATATTAAGAGAGGCATTATGTTCAACTCGGAAGTAGTTCGTTTTTATTTTTAGTATCTTCAAAAAGGAAGTTGTATGTAACAGACTTCAGCAGTCCTGTGAGAAAGCAGCCCCCGCCTCCCCCCCCAGACCTTGTCACTATATCTTCCTGTTGTGACTGGTGTGATGGTACTTTAGCCAGGTCCTTCAGCAGTCTGCCACACCCTAGCTTCTGTTCACTCATATTATGGTTGGTACTTTGCCTTCAAATTGAGGTGCTATGGAGCTTTTGCTATTGGTAGAATTGTAGAAGGGACTTCATCCTACCCAGGACCCCCATGTTCCCTAGCTCTAGATATTCCAGCTGTGGAGGAGGCGGCTAGAGTCTGTTATGTGCTCAGCTCTGCAGCTGCTGGGCTTGTGTTTTGCCACCTATTTCTAGAACTTACAGACTGAGTGTACTGGAAGGAACAAACCGTCTGAGAACGAAACCACGAGCCTGGGAGGGAGCTACAGAACATGCAGAGGTCACCAGCTCACGCCTTCAGCAGTTTAACTGCACATGCAGGATGCACAGGGCCGGAAGGGGGCTGTGTTTTATTTAGTATCAACTAGAGGCACTTTGGTCACTTTGCATCACAGTAAATGATCCAGCACGGACTGCCTAGGCTGCTCAAGTGCTTGGGGTTTTATTATTTTGCACTGGACCCACCTGTTGTAAATAGTCTTAAATACACATTTCAACCACTGTTTGGTTTTCCATACTCTTTGCTGCTCATTAAAACCTTTTGTGTAGGTGCCAGAACCATACACAAACAGCTTTCTGAAAAAAAAGAAAATGAAGCTGATATTTTTTTAAACCAAAAGCCATAGAAGTTGATCATGTTTTCCATTTTAAAATGATTTATTGGAACAAAGTAATACTAATAGACACTCAGAGGCACCACACAGGCTGCTTTACATGGTCTTACATAGAAACAAGAAATGTGACTTACCATGGTATGGGGGTCAGCATTGGTCGGGGTTCAGGTGTGCATTGGGAAAGAGCTGCAATGGCAGAACCCCCTTGCTGCGACTGAAACTTCTAAGTCAGGTTGATCATACAGATGTTTTCTAAACTTTTGTTGTATTACTGCAATAAATCCTTTAACAGTACTTTGCTATGCGTGCTTTTTTCCCAGTTCCTGTTTATTTCTGCTGCTACATTGATGGTTAGTAGCAAGAGTGCAAGCTAACCTTAGAGTACTTCATTTAAATTAAAGAATTACTTTTTAAAGAATTTTTTGCTAGGTAAGAAAATTGTTTTTTAAAATGACTGGTTATTGGCTTTAATGATGATGGCTTGTCTTTGGCAAGCAAAATAGTTGCTTATCAGTTGTGAGTTTCATTCTCTAGAAGGCAGGTTGTTCTTGATCTGGAAAGGTGTAAGCCTCTGAGATGCCCACGTGGAGCCTGCTCTCTCTTTTGCAGGGCAAGAGAGAAAATGTTAGAGGTATTTCTCAGGCCTATAGGCATCCACAGGCTTTCAAGAATCCTTTTGTAATATATCTCTCAGACAGGCACCAGGAGGGGGCTTCCAGGTCATGTGGAGGAGCTGGCTCAGGATGGAGAAGGACAAGTGACTGAGGCAGAACTCTGGGGACCTGTAGGAAGGACACTGAAGGTCACTCATGCCCATCCATTGGCTACCTGGGATGGGAAGCTTTTCAGAGAGTGTGGGCTGCGAGTTCCCGCCTTTCCATCTTCGTAAGTAGCAGCCAGAAGCAAGTTACCGTGTAGTGTAAAGGGAAGGAGAGACTTCTCATCCAGTTACATTTAACTGGTGCAGGGAGTGAACAGTGGGACGAAAAGCACAACTTCCTAGTGGGTGGGTGGGTGGGGCCTTCAGGAAAGTCTGAACATAGGCGTGCTATGTGAGCACTCAGCTGTGAGCCATCGCCTCTCCTCAAGCTATTGGTGAGAAAATATCCTGGAAAAGATGAAGTGAAGTTTTTGTAAACACAAAACCCACCAGGGTAACAGTTTTGAAAAGTATTTTCTGTGCATGTATGTGTGGGGCAGGTACACAAGTACATGTGTGGAGGGCAAATGGCAACTTAGGTGAGTCTTTCCTTCTATGTCCCAGATCTGCAGACTTGCTGGGAAGTGCTTTCACTCACTGGGTTACCTTGGCAACCTGGGATAAACTTAATTACAATGGTAAATCAGCAAGAGCCACATTGATTTGTTTGTAGAAAGGAATACAAAGTGCTTGGGTGCGAGAGAGGGAGGGTCTGATAGAAACTGAAGCTGTCAAGAGCGCTTGCTGTTCTTGGAGAGGACCTTAATTCTGTTCCCAGCACCCATATGGGGCTCAACCATCCAAACTCTAGTTTCAGAGGATCTGACACTTTCTGGCTTCTATGCCATCAAGGATGAATGTGCTGCAAATACATATACGCATACAAAGATGTCTTCTATGTAGCTTTGGCTGACCTGAAACTCTGTATAGACCAGAGATCTGCCTGCTCCTGCCTCCTGCGTGCTGGGAGTAAAGGCATGTGCCACCATGCACAAGCTGCCTATCTTTCAAGAGCCATGAAATTGACCATAGGTTCAAGGTAAGTGATGAGAAGGGGCTGGAGCTAATTGACTGTTGATGCTCCCAGCACCCACATCCCCTTCCATACCTCCCTCACCTATGAACGTGGTGTTCTGAGCATTTACTGCGACTTCCAGAGGCACCCAGGTATTGAGGAAAGTGCATTCCTACATGTGTTTAGTAGTACATTTTTTTCTAAATTTAAAAAGATTCTGAAGGCGTTGCTGGAACATAAACAAGTACGTGGTCTTGGGTTGGGTACTTGCCAATGGTTTTTCAGCAGTAACTGGAAGGCATCTCCAGTGTATGTATGGTCAATAGTGATGGGGGTGAGGGTGGTGGCAGCAGGACATCTGGTCAGCAGTTGACTAAGAAGGCCTTCTAGGATTAACAGGGAAATAGCTATGCTTTCTGATGGGTGCTGCTGGTGTTGGCTGTTGGCTTCAGGGAATTCTGTCCTCTTAATGCCCTTAGAGAAAGACCCTAAGAGCTGAGAGATTCTACTGCACTCAGCATGCCTGAGATGCTTGCTCAGTCTCTGCTTTCTACTGAGCGAGCCTTAACTACAAAGCCAACATCACCTGGGAGCTTGGTAGAGTTTTGCCTCAGGCCCGCTGAATCAGCCTTTCTCTACAGCTCTTTGGCCTGTTGAAGATGATGAGGTAGCGCTGCAGTGAAGAGGGGATGCTAGAGCTCACGCATGGTGCCTGCTCATGCTCTCATTCAAGGTTAACGGCCTGTTCTGAAACTGGAAATATCTAAGTACTCAAGAGCCTCAGATCTAGACAATAGGTTCCTTCTTTCTGGCACAGAGGATGACATTCTCAGTGTCCTTTAAGGAGCTTTAAGTTGGGGAAAATGTCTGGTACAGTGACACATTGACTGCATCCCTGGTTTGTATATTCTACAGGAGACGTTCTTGGGCTGTCTCCCAGTTGCCCCTTCAGGGCACTCCATCCTGCTCAATGGCCAGGAGCCTGAGTGGGCTACAGCAACTGGTGATGCCCCTGCCTCATCCCGTCTAGTTCCATTCCTTCTCAGGCCTCTGAATCCTTAGACCTGTTACCATACTCAGTCCTTGCTTCCTCACACAGACCTTGTGAAGCAAGGCTGCTACTGTGGACTCACCTGGGGACTCCCACTTCCAGGATGAGCCTTGTGCTTTGTCCTCCACAGGGAAGAGCCCTTAAATGTTTGGCTAGACTTGGTGGACTGTGCCTTTAATCCTAGCACTGGGAAGCAGATGTGGGTGTATCTCTGAGAGGCTAGCGTGGTCTACAGAGTGCCAGGGATACTAGTGAGGCCTTGTCTCAACAAAACAATCCTCCTTCCCAGGGTGTTTGAAGGTGTGTTTCTGCAGAGGGCCAAAAAAGGGGCACAGGTGATGAGGATGCTCTGTAAAGGTAGGTGTTCTTGCCTTGGGGTTGGCAAATACTGGGGATGGTACATCCCTGTGTCCACATCTTCTCTTGAGCACATGCACTTGCTCATTTTCATAGTGTAGTCATTTGTTTCTTCAGAATCTGTTTAGCCAGGATAACTAGCCATGGAAATGGTCATGGCACGGGTCCCAGTTTGGACACTAGACAGCCAGCCTCCCATCTCTGCTTGGGATGGTAAAGAAGGCCAAAGTGGAGCTAAGGACTACACTCCCTGCAGCAGTTATGGTTTGGGAGGAAGGACAGAGTGGAGGCCAGCAGCTGGGTACCAGAGTAAGGAAGGCTGGGAGGGCCAGACTTCTACCAAACTGTAGACACAGCTGTGCAGACAGGTCATATGATGCCACAATAGAACTTTCCAATTTGTTATTGTATCTGGCCACTCTTTTTTTTTTTTGGTTTTTTGAGACAGGGTTTCTCTGTGTAGCCCTGGCTGTCCTGGAACTCACTCTGTAGACCAGGCTAGCCTTGAACTCTCGAACTCAGAAATCCGCCTGCCTCTGCCTCCCAAGTGCTGGGATTAAAGGCTTGCGCCACCACCGCCCGGCCTTTTTTTTTTTTTTTAAAGGACATCAACTTTTTATACTACATAATGGAGACCAGTATCAGATCATAAAATTCAATCTTGTGGTTCAGTGTGGGCAAAAGAGAAAGGAAGGTCAGTTAAAGAGCATAGCAGATTATGTACTCCTGCTATTAGGGAGATGGACTCTGCTCTTCCTGGTGTCTACATCCTGCTCACTACTCCGCCTTAGCAGCTAGTCTTCCCTGGCCAGCATACAGTATGCTACGCATTAATAGCTGTCTTCTACCAAGTGCTAGGTACCACATTGTCAAGAGTAATTTTGGGCATATGCCAACTAGCCCTCAATGCTCACTTGAGAACCTAGTTCTCACATGCTTATTGTTTCAAAGAGAAAACATGATGGCAGTCCCTGCTAATGTCAGCACTTGGAAGAAGGCAGTAGTCTAAGTTCCATCATGAGAACCTGTCTTTAAAAACTCAAGAGAGAGCAGCCACGGTAGCTCACCCAGCACAGACAAGGCTGAGGTAGAATGACCTAAGGCCAACCTGAGCAAGTTGAGACCCATTTCTAAATTAGAACCCAACAAAGCAAGCTTTAAAAGGGCAGGGGAACAGCTCAGTGGTGAGCTGTCTGCCTAACGTGTCCCTGAGTTGGACTCCCAGACAAGAGAAGAAAAACCAAATCCTCTAGAACAGATGCCTTTGTAGAATCTGAAGTCTCTACTAAGCGACTTCAGGACAGCATTCTCAGCCTGGGGGGCAGTTGAATGACCCTTTCACAGGGGTCACCTAAGACAGATTTACATTACAATTCATAACAGTAGCAAAGGTACAAAGTAGCAACAAAAAATATGGTTGGCGCTCACTGTAACATGAGGTATATTAAACCATCCCAGCGTTAGGAAGGTTGAGAACCACTGGCTTAAGAAAAGGTGGAAGAGAAAAGGTTTCATGGCTTTTTAAATACACAAATTATCCTTATTAGAGGGGGCATGTGTGCTATAACCAACATGTAAAGATCAGAAGACAGCCTTGTGGAGTTCATTCTCTATTGGGCTTTCTGTGGATTCTAGGGATCAAACTTTGGTTGCCAGATTTGCAAGGCAAGCACCTTTACCAGACAGCAGGTTGTTGGCCTCATTGACATTTAGTGAGTTTCCTCCTCTGTTCCCTAAGGGATGTGGTCTCTGCCCCATTCCACTTCTCTTCCCAGCTGCTAACTAGGGACTCTCCCCATGCAGGACAAAGCCAGCCACCTGGAGTGGGAGACTATGGCATTAAGGTTCTGCTTCAGCTGCCAGGCACAGATAAACTTGAGGCACCCAAAGGTGCTTAACCACAATGTTTGCTCTTCCCACGAGGCTTTGCAAACATTAGCTATGGCCATGAACTTCCATAAAGTTAGGAGTGGTGTGCATGTCAGGAGGGATGGTGTACTTCCCACACGGGCACTTCATTAGTTCTGAGATTCCAACACGAGCCTGTATGAACCCAGAGGAAACACACTTGGAGGATAGAATTTCACTGTGTGCTCAACATACTGTTACAGGACTTCGTACTGGATAAGCAGTTGATAACATTGATTCATTATTGGCACAGTTTAGTGTGA